ATATAAGTATGCCAGCTGTTTTATGCGAATACTATAAGAGATAAAAAAAAAGTTATTGGGTAAGTGCCTTGGATTTTTTATTAAAAAATGGTAGTCAAGTCGAAAAAAAAAATTTAGCCTCCATTTCTCCAATATGGCAGCCAACTTTGATTTTTCTTATGGAACACCCTGTATTTTATGATGTATTCCGGTAGAAAATGTAATTTTAAGACGATTTTACTATTGTGTTTTCTTTTATAAACCTAACCGTTTCAAAGATAATAATGGTTAAAGTTGTGAAATTTCGGTATGAGAAAGCGTTTCGATGTAGGCCTAAGCAAGAGTGCCAGCCGTTTTATTCGAAAACTATTAGAAATTTCACAACTTTAACCATTATTATCTTTGAAACGGTTAGGTTTATGAAAAAAACACTAGAGTAAAATCGTCTTAAAATTACATTTTCTACCGGAAAACATCATAAAATACAGGGTGTTCCATAAGAAAAACCAAAGTTGGCGGCCATATTGGAAAAATGGCGGCTAAAATATTTTTTTTGACTTGACTAAAATTTTTTAAATAAAAAATCTAAGGCACTTACCATTTAACTTTTTTTAATATCTTTTATAGTTTTTGAATAAAACAGCTGGCACACTTATATCAATCACCCTGTATGTTAAAGATAGACTTTTATCCTTAGTACAGTATTTGAACGGAAGCAAACCAAATTAGTAGAAAGAAAGTCCATGACTGTTGATGAGACCCTTGCTAGCGGCTGGTTATGCCACTTATCTCCCTATAATTTACTCTAAAAGGACCCGTCAATTTATCGGGAGCCCCTACTTACCTCGCACACTTCCCCTCCCTAATGGACCCACTGACCTGGGCTCAACACCAAACTCTAGTATTGAGTAAATGATAAGTGTCTTTGGCTTTGACAGATTACTATTTATGTTTGGGTCATTTAAGTCTCCGAATCACCGAACAGACGTTAACTGATTTAGATTACCTTGTCTTCCAAGTGATCAAAAATTCAAGAATAGGCTACCGGTATCGATTTACAAGAAATATTCTTCAGGCGAACGTTAACTGCTCTATTACGAAGTGTTTGAGTTAAGAAAACATTGTGACGCAACTACACTGTGACTAAATATAAAAATTGTCCATTTGAGGTTCATATTTGGTGATAATAAGTTAAAGTTATTATAAACAGCTCTGGGTTATTGCTGACATTTTCCATCACTAACACTGATGAACATTAAATAAATAAATTCAACCTTATTTGATCTTTGTCGGTCGTTCGCATCTGGAGGCAAGACAAATTAATTGAATTGTTTACAAATTTTCTCATCTATGATTAGGATTACCAATTGAAATCATTGTCATAATTATTTTACTATAATTTATTAATTCAATAAAGTGTGAAAACAGGTAAGTACAGTATATGCGATCCAAATGTACATTGGATGTATAACCTGCCTCAGATATGATATTTAGAAATGAATGTTAGTCATACTGTTTCCAAGTTTGAAATATTTGTAATTATTATTTGAACATACGTCACTATATAGTTGTTAGTCCAATCATTTGAGCCACAAAGAGTGTAGTTAAACCCCCCTAAACACGTTAGGTACTAAAATAAAGAAACATATAATACGTAGTTGTAAAGTAAATATTTTTCCGTTTGTTTGGCTGTGTATTTTACTTAGATCATCCATAAGCTAGTAATGTAATAAAACTATACGTTAGGCATTGTGTGTAGTTATTCATATACATGCAATCACTGTATTGCCTGAATTACCATTATAAATACACCCCTAACATAATCATGTGGTTAGGACATTTCAAACAATCATCGAAGGAAAGTAAAATTAATCTTCATTTCATATATCGACACTTTGACCACGTGAAACATCAATGGGTGATTCTACTATACAGCAGTTTGGGTCGGTTGCTGTACTGCCGAAAGACGGAAAGTGCGAGAGTCTAACGCTAAAAATACATCAGTGTAGACAACAATACAGAAATATCATCAGAAACTGCGGCCTCCTGGCGCGTGCGTTCACTGACCCTCTATCACAGCTTGCTTGATGCTTTAAACATGTTTGACAAGCAACCATCGCACTTGTCAAGCAACGGTGTTGTCTTGCTTGGCAACCGTCATCAAACACGGTTGACAAACTTCAACAAACACAGAAATGCTCGAAAGGTAATCATCACTGTAGCAACCGACAACATTGCCAAGTGCATGCTTTGCAATTGGAATGCTATAAATATATATTTTTGCTACCAAATAATTTTGCCCCCAGTGACGTTTGCTCCCAGTAGAAGCAGTTCCCTGAATTCCCTCCGTGACTGTTCCCATGCGCCTCACCCATTGTTGTACTTTTAAATACACGGATATAACTCGAATTACCACTGAGCATTATGAAAATAAGTTCAGACAATAATACTCGCATGGTAAGTCTTCACATCGCATAACCACATGTTAAACAGCATATATATCATATGCTGTGTAACATGCCATTATCAATTTTAACATTTCTTTTAGGGCCCAAGATAAGATATCACAATAAATAATAGTGTGCGAAGTTTTAATAGCCACACCAAGTAGGCTACTGCTGCCACAAAAATGCCTTTACAGTAAAAAATTAGCTCGACTAACATCCTTTAGTGAGTGAGCAGATCTGACAGTGAGGATTTTATGGTAACACCCGCTTGCGCCATTCTGCCTTTCTACCAGTAATGAAGACAGGCTATTCTGTAGGATAACAAATGATCAAGTGTAGCTGTGTCATGATACGCAGAAGTTTAAGCTTCAACTTGTATACCTTTTCTCCAACAAGAGAAGGATGATAATATCCTCTTGACTGCAAATCCAGTCTCAGACCGGCACAAGGTGAACAGGAAACTTGCGTCCTAGGACACCCTAAAGGATTTACCCAATATCTTACCAGCTGTTCTTATCCACGCTTTACCTTCCAACTAAAAATACACATTTTCCTACTAGGGCTGCTTCCCTAGTATCCTAAAAACGAGTTCCCTGACTTAAAAAGTGAACCTGTTGACATTGGCTGCCCCTCCTAGTTAGATACTTTAAATATTCAAAATATCTTACTTCAATATACAGCACAGAATATTGTCAGTGCAATGGTAAAATGTAGTTCTTTCTTTGGAAAGTTAAGATACAATAGTAAAAAAGACCATATATATAATATATATAATAGGAAAATATACCAATTATTCTGGCTCTACAGTATAATTATTGTCTGCTTGGTGCCGTTAGTTGACTAAATTACAAGTTGTACTAAACACTTGGTTTAGCTTACATCAATACTCAGAGCAACGAAAACCTATTGCATTTAAAATACTGATGTATTTAAATCAGAAATATAAGAAGCGAGTAAAAAATAATGTTATTTATGACTACGTAAACAACCTATATATTTCTCCTAGCAAGTTATCCTCGCCCACTCAAGGCCAACAAGAATTATAAACTCCAAGAATCCTGCAGGTATAATGTAGGATTGTCCAAGAATCTAAATACAGTTATTACACATCTTATAAAAGTAAGAGTGCCATGTTTAGAAAACATTGTGATAATAGTTTCACAATTTGAATTTGTAATGAAGATGGCTTAACTTATTTGAAATATACTTGCAAAAATCAATTAATAGACCCCAATACTCATATTAATAGATTGAAAAATATCAAACAACGTTAAATTATGTTTCTGTTAACCTCTGAAATCGACGTGCAACAATACACATTACAATTCACCTGAACTTAAGAAATACGCGATATTTAAGCATCACAATAATATCTTTTTCGTTTCACTGTTTTACTGTATAACATACACAGCTTTGCTTTTTGACATAGTTTTATCGCAAACGAAAGAGACGATAAATACTATTGGGAGAGAGAGCGAGGGATGCGGACATAACGTTGTGTGTGTGTGTGTGGTGACATTCTGAGGTTTATTGCCGGGCTATTCGAGTGAAATGATCGATGTTTCTTTTTGGTTCTGGCCACGATTTCATGTTGAGCTTTACTATTTACGTTGTTATAGTTTGCTTGTGCCTCCTCCATCTCCGATTATAAAAACACAAGATCTGTTTGAAATCGTTATTTGTGTCATTATTGTTTCTCAGGACTTTAAATATAAATAAAATATATCTATACAATTACTAAAACAAAGAGATGTGTTTTGTAAATTCAGTTGATAAGTGACTCGATAATGAGAATATTTATTTGTACAACCTGTCATTCTTCATTGTACAATAATATCTGCCGAACGGAAATAAGTTTTTTAATAAATAATTTTATTCTTTAGACTATCATCTGTACTATTAATTTTATGATGAGAGTTGCCATTGCTGATTCTAAAACTTTGTAAAACTCCGATGCTTGTGGCTATGGTTTGAATGTCTTTTTCATCACAAAAATGGTTACTCCTAAGTGATAACGGATCGGGTCCACCTTGAGCTGACCTATTTGACCTCAAGAACACACGACTTGCATTGTTGGATATCTTAAAATCACTTTTGAACTGTTGAAGAAATATCACTCCCATGATAACGCTTTAGTTAGTTTTAGAGTAAAAATAAACGTAGCTCAATTGTGCTACTGATAGATTGCGCTGATTTTAATTACTGATTTCTGTGAAATGTTCTTTAAAACCAAACCAAGCTGAAAGAAAATATTGTAAACTGTAGTAGAAGTCATTATAGTTTCATATATGAACAGTCATAATTATTAGTAACGGAAGAGTTATTATGTTTTGCGGGGTGGCTGCACTGTGCATTGAGCCCTGAAGTGGGATGATTCGTCACGGCTCCTTCTTCTATGTCCACCAACGATAGTAAGTGGTTCTCTCTTAATTACTGTCCACTTTTCTTGTGTTCTAGCGTAACGTTAGGTTACGACATTTTGGCGCAGTCGGTAATAAACCTTTTTATCATAGTTAGGGTAGTACGCTATAACAGTTGTTGTTTTAGTGCGTATTATAGTTGAGATAATTAAAAATGGCGAGTATTAGTGTTGGCAGGATTTCTGAATTTAATCCAAGTGAGGAGGACATTGTGCCCTATTTGTTGCGCCTGAAACATTTTTTCAAAGCGAACAATGTCAAGAAGGAGAACGAGGTGTCGGTTTTAATTACAGTTATTGGTCCCAGGGTTTTATCGGTCCTATCCGATTTATTATCACCGGTAGAGGTAGATTCTAAGACCTATGATGAACTTGCAGCGTTGTTGAAATTACATTATGCGCCCAAGAAGTTGGTTGTGGCGGAGCGATATGTATTCTACTCTCGTGTGCAAAAGCCGGGCGAAAGCATAGCGGAGTTTGTGGTTTCAATAAAACATTTAGCTAGTTCGTGCAAATTTGGTACCTTTTTGAAAGACGCTTTGAGGGACAAAGTGATTTCCGGCATTTCTAATGAAACTATCCGGCAGAAATTGTTGTCGGAGGAATTGGACTTTGACGAAGCTTATGCGTCAGCGCTCAGGCTGGAACAGGCCGAATCGCAGTCAAGCCTATTTGTGCAACCTCGTGGGGACATTGCGAAAATCAATGTGAAAAGTCAAAATAGGCCTAAAACTTTCGTGAATAGGAGTAGTGAAAATCAAAATTCTAGAAACTCTTGTTGGAGGTGTGGTTCTGCTGGTCATTGGCCTAGTGCGTGTGCGTTCGCCAGTTACAAGTGTCACGGTTGTCAGAGAGTAGGTCATCTCAAGAAAGTGTGTAAAGCCAAGAAATCTTCTAGTTTCCATGGTAAAAAGTCGACACCTAGGATGGGGGTCCATCAAGTGGAGGAAGAGGTAGGCCTAGGCCTAGAAGTTCCAATGGCAGAGATAGGTCTGTACAACCTTAAATCAGGATCAGACAACGGCTATAAGGTAGGCCTAGTGGCTAATGATGTATATTTAGAAATGATTCTAGATACAGGCAGTGCCTTGACTATATGTCCTTCTGAGATATTTTATGAAAAATTTTCTAACCTCAAACTTAGGCCAGCAAATGTGAAACTTACTACTTATTCAGGTCATGATGTACCTGTTCTGGGACAAGTGAATGTCAATGTTAAATATAATAATCAGCAGGCGAGTTTGCCTTTGACAGTAGTTAGTTTAGAAAGTAAGAGTCAGCCGATTCTGTTGGGCCGAAACTGGTTAGGCCAGTTGAGGTTAGATTGGCAAAATGTGTTTTCATGTAAAGCCACTGTGGATCACAGTTCTGATTTGGACATTGCTAAATTGAAGAGTAAATTTAAGTCAGTTTTTCAGCCTGGAACGGGCGAAATTAAGGGTGTTAAGGCTCATATTGTCTTAAAGGAGGGGACAGTCCCTAAGTTTTGTAAGGCGAGACCAGTGCCTTTTGCGTTAAGGGAGAAAGTTGAGAGTGAGTTGGACCGAATGGTTCAAGAGGATGTTGCGTACAGAGTTACTAATTCACAGTGGAGCACTCCACTTGTGGTTGTCCCTAAGCCTAATGGTGTTAGGCTTTGTGCCGATTATAAGATTACTCTTAATCAGTGTATTGAAATGGAACATTATCCGCTTCCTCAGGCTCAGGATATTTTTGCAACTCTAGGCGGTTGCTCAGTTTTTAGCTGCCTTGATCTTTCAAATGCGTATCAGCAATTGGCGGTAGCGGATGAATCGCAACATCTGTTGACCCTAGCTACCCATAAGGGTCTGTATCGTTTAAAAAGGCTACCATATGGTTTGTCTTCAGCTCCTGCAATTTTTCAGTCAGCCATCGACCAAATTTTAACAGGTCTTCCAGGAACGGTGGCGTACTTAGATGACGTCTTAGTGGCGGCTCGCTCTAAGGAAGAGGGGCTTGCCCGTCTGGCGCAGGTGCTGCAACGCCTTGATGAGTTTGGTGTTCGAGTAAACCAACAAAAGTGTAAGTTTTTGCAATCTTCAATAGAGTATTTAGGACATGTGATTACTCGAGATGGTCTCCGTCCACAAGAAAGTTTGTTAACTGCGCTGCGTAAAGCGCCTGAGCCTAGTACTAAGGAAGAGTTACGAGCCTATATTGGTCTAATAAATTATTATCATGCATTTATACCTAACCTGTCTGCTAGAATAAGCTGTTTTTATGACTTATTACATAAGGATCATCCATGGGTGTGGTCGCAGGTGTGTTCTAAAACTTTTCAGGAGAGTAAATCATGGGTGTTGGACTCAAGTTTGTTAGTTCACTATGATGTGAAAAAGCCCATAGTTCTGACGTGTGATGCGAGTCCCAGAGGGGTGGCTGCTGTTCTATCTCATCTTATCGATGGGCAGGAAAGGCCAATTGCCTTCGCATCGAAAACGCTAAGTTCCAGTGAACGGAATTATTCCCAGTTACATCGGGAGGCTCTGGCTTTGATCTTTGGAGTCAAAAAGTTTCATAAGTATATATATGGACGACACTGTATTCTACAGACTGATCATCAGCCGTTGACGGCTATTTTTGGCTCTAAAAAGGGCGTTCCTAGTATGGCGGCAGCTAGGCTGCAGAGATGGGCCTTGATTCTATCAGCATATGATTTGGAGGTTAGGTACCGGAAGGGAGTGGATGTCCCTCACGCTGATGCGTTGTCTAGGTTACCCTTAGCAGAAGCGGAACCTATAGAGCTGGATGCTAATTTTGTTTCACATGTAGATATGTGTACAGAAGTGATGAACAATTTCTGTGTTGTCAAGGACATTGCACCTATTACTGCCTTGCATATAGGTAAAATGACGGATAAGGATCCGATTCTTTCGAAGGTCCGAGATTTTGTGATGTACGGCTGGACGAGCTCGGTTGAGCCGGAACTAGCTATTTTTCTAAGGAAGAAGGACGAGTTGTCCGTGGAACAAGGTTGTTTGCTGTGGGGTTCTCGTGTAGTGATTCCAAAGAAACTGTATTCATCTGTGCTTCAAATGTTGCATGATCAACACCCGGGAGTTACACGCATGAAGATGCTGGCGAGAAGTTATGTCTGGTGGCCAGGCATGGAGAAGTCGATTGAAGACGTGGTGGCCTCTTGTTCTGCGTGTCAGTTAACTAGGAATTCGATACCTAAAGTACCGTTGCAGCAATGGCCTACAACATCAACCCGATGACAGAGGATACACATTGACTTTGCGGAGGATCCAGAGTCGAGACAGCAACTTTTAGTTTTGATTGACACATACTCTAAATGGTTAGAGGTATTTATCATGAGTTCCATGAATTCTTCCAAGGTTATTGAGAAACTCCGTACCTTGTTTTCATCGTATGGATTGCCTGTCGAACTGGTGTCGGACAACGGAAGATCTTTTACTAGTCAAGAGTTCAAAACCTTTTTGCATAACAACAATGTGAAGTTCACATTAACTCCCCCGTATCATGCGGCTTCAAATGGATCTGCGGAGAGAAGTGTTCAGGAGGTCAAGAAAAACCTTTTGCGTCAAGTGATTGAGGAACATCAGCGTTCTCAGCGTACCACTCTTCAAATGAAATTAGATAATTTCTTGTTTGCGTACCGCAACACTCCAAATACAGTTACTGGCTTAACCCCTGCAGAAATGTTCCTGTCTTGGAAGCCTCGTACTCAGTTGGTTATGTTAAAACCCGATCTCCAGTCATCCATTGATCAAAAACACAGGGAACAAAAAGATGCAGCTGATAGGCTTAGGGGAAGAAGCAGATTTTTCTCAGAAGGTCACGCAGTCTATGTCAAAACTGTCCGAAATGAAAAGATATCTTGGGTTCCTGGCAAAATAATTCTAAAGAGAAGTCCGGTCACCTATCTGGTGAGTGTTATTGGTGGAAAACCCCGATTTTGTCATGCGGATCACTTGAGAGCTCGGTATGCAGAAGAGGAGGAGATTTTTGTATCACCCAAGGATCCCGTTGTATCACCCCAAGTACCCAAGAATTCCCCCCGCCGGAGGATCGACCAACTAGTCCCATGATGATGTCACCTGTACCTAGGCTTACTACCAGTCCCAGGGAGAGCCTAGGGCAAGCCCAGCCTCAGCCAACTCCTGCGTCGCCGCTAGCACAGTGCAGCCCACCACCCTCGCTGAGGAAGTCTGCACGGACTGTGCGAAAGCCTCACAGGCTGGACTTGTAAAATTATTAATGAATAATGGGAAGAAGAAATTTTGGTTGCATTTTATTGAAAGTGAATGTATTTTATTTTGAAAGTTGAGTTAATTTTGAATTTATGATATTGACTTTTTTTATGGGGAAGACGAGTGTAGTAGAAGTCATTATAGTTTCATATATGAACAGTCATAATTATTAGTAACGGAAGAGTTATTATGTTTTGCGGGGTGGCTGCACTGTGCATTGAGCCCTGAAGTGGGATGATTCGTCACGGCTCCTTCTTCTATGTCCACCAACGATAGTAAGTGGTTCTCTCTTAATTACTGTCCACTTTTCTTGTGTTCTAGCGTAACGTTAGGTTACGACATAAACTATCGCCGCTTTTATCACATCAATCATGATAGTAACCAAAACTAAGGGGAAATATAATTTTACACTGTGAGGAGCCCATTCGACTATGTTCTTTTTTATAAAACGATGGCTACAACTGGACCATGTCTTCAGAAACCAAAAGTCTTTGTTACGATACGCGGAACTCCTGCTGAGTGGTGAGTGCTGAGAAGTTGTGGGCGTGGCAGTGATGAGTTGCTGACTGGGTCTTGGTCTATCATCACTAGCTCTGCAGACAACCGACACCCCGACAGGCTCTCATGCGACCGTATATCGAACATTGAGCACGGCACACGGCACACGGCCGCTACCACCCACCAGCGTCGCCTGTCACCTTAACTCAATCTCTTGGGGAATCCGGTGGATTTTAATTATACCAAGAGCCGGTCTTACACCGGGCCGTCCACAGCTGATTAACTACGGCGCGTTTTATTTATAGAGTATTTCCTCTTACCGGAGATCATCTGGACGTCTGGATCGCTTCGCCTGCTGAGAAACAAGGTACTTGTGATCCGATGCTAATGGTCAGGATAAATAATTCGTTCATCTGTCTCAGTACGTATTTCAGTAGTCCACACGATTACAATTGTTTTACACGCATTGAGTCAACAACCGATTTCCTCTTACAAAGAAAAACTGAAGTTAAAGATCTTCTAACGGGGTGGTTGCCAATTTAATCAGAAAGGAATTAGACAATATCCAGTATTTACATGTAAATGTTATTTCTTATTTCCTGAACCATATTACAATGTAATGTTCGATCGATGCAGCAGTCCAATTGTTTTCACGAAGCGTGTAATAATTATTAAACGTGAAGAATACCTATGAATATGATTGCTCGTAAAATCAAAGATTAGCTTATCTGGAAATGAGATTTAAATATATATTTATCGTATTATCTGTGATTTCATATTACCTGCAGGCTCATCCCTGCAGCTGATCCCACTGATCTGATACAATGTTGTGTGATTGTTTAGTTCAAGTAACGTATCTGAGATTACTGTGGCTAATCATGGACATGGTATGTTCAAAGTAAATGTTGGCTACCTATAACGACATTGTATGTCCAAAGTAAATGTTGGCTACCTATAACGACATGGTATGTTCAAAGTAAATGTTGGCTACCTACAACGACATTGTATGTTCAAAGTACATGTTGGCTACCTATAGAAACATGGTATGTTCAAAGTAAATGTTGGCTACCTACAAAGACATTGTATGTCCAAAGTAAATATGGCTACCTATAACGCCATGGTATGTTCAAAGTACACGTTGGCTACCTATAACGACATTGTATGTCCAAAGTAAATGTTGGCTACCTATAACGACACGGTATGTTCAAAGTACATGTTGGCTACCTACAACGATATGGTATGCTCAAAGTAAATGTTGGCTACCTATAACGACATGGTATGTTCAAAGTAAATGTTGGCTACCTACAACGACATGGTATGTTCAAAGTACATGTTTGCTACCTACAACTACATGGTATGTCCAAAGTACACGTTGGCTACCTATAACGACATGGTATCTTCAAAGTACACGTTGGCTACCTATAACGACATGGTATGTTCAAAGTACACGTTGGCTACCTATAACGACATGGTATGTTCAAAGTACACGTTGGCTACCTATAACGACATGGTATGTTCAAAGTAAATGTTTGCTACCTATAACGACATCGCGTAGCCCAAGTACATAGAGAAGTATATTTCGGCTAACCATGACGACATGGTGTGGTCCAAGGGGTGTAGGGAGGACTCGGCGTCACACAGTCGCTTCACCCCACTTCCGCCCCCACTCATGTTCTCAACCACCCCTCACCAATCCTTAAGTCGCAGCAACTCATCACCATTCATTCGGTTTGAGTAACTTCCAGCTGGTATTCTCTGTTTACTACTAAATTCGCAACATTTTGCTAGTATTTTATAAATGAAAAACGATTAAAACGTGTACCCATAACTGGCCAACAGAAAAATCATATACGGAATCTGTGTGCCTTTTTAGGCAAAATATGGAATCGTGCATTTTTTCGTATTTATTTAATCTAACTCCTTGGCTTTGGCTAACTCTTTAAAGTCCGTATTGTACTTGTGATGTTTTTGCTGAATTTAAACAACATTATCCAGTACTCGAATCCTTTGTTTTAACCGAAGCATTTAAAATACCAAAATGTTTCTAATTTTTTATAGAACTTCGCATAAATTGTCTACAGCTGTGGGGCAAAAAGCTACGTTAATCTTCCCAACTATGTTATTTGCTTACCAGCAAAATTCAAGTGATGACATTGTGGATCCATCGATTGCCCTTCTAACGTAAAGGTCGAATGTTGGTAGACACATCCCATATCCCATATCCCACAGATTAACCATGGTGTGCCCATAACAGTGTCTAGACAAGTTGATTACGTCACATTAGACCGACCCCAGCCGTTGCATCTACAATAACGTGGCCAACCTGGGCATCTTCTCGTCATGGTCATATGGTTAGTGCCCGTTTATTGCTGTTGTGAAAATAACACGGAATTACGTCTCAGAGTCGGAAGTCCACAGAAATTGTCTTCTCTTGTAACTGTAAACTTGTACTGTATCACATTATATAAACCTGTAGACTATTCCCAGATTCTGTAGAAGTAGGTCCATACTTTAATTTAAAGAAATGTGTTTCAAAAGGTATTAAATCAAAGAGAAATAATTTTACCTCAGTGTTCTTGATAGTTGATTCATGTTAAAGAACTTTGTCAAATACTCTCAGTTTTGAATCCAATGGCATAATTGCTTTTTAAGTACCACTTAACTTAATCTGAATGTCCGATTTGACTACAAATACCCTAATAATCTACGAATATTTTTAATTGTTGTCGTTGTCACTGGTTTTGAAAATCACATAGCAGCCTTGAAAATTGCTTCATAATCCCTTAAGATCTTCTTGAAATACATGTATTATGTCGCACAGCACAAGTAAACTATTTTAAGGTAATTTATATTGAACAATATAGTCACGTAGATTTACTAAAAAAAAGTAATGCACGCACAACCACAGGAAATCATTTGCTAATGACTAATATAAATTGCTGTCAAATAATAAAAATATGTATTTACTTAAATAGCAAAATTATTCTAAAAAACTGTAATAAATAATGGTTCCAAACTTAACAAACGCGAGAAGAAGAATTCAAGGAATATCTAAATCGTACAGACTTCTTTTTAGACATTTCAAAATGGCAGCCATTTTAATTTCGTTAAAAATTTAAATAGTCGCTATTTTCAAATGGATCAAGATCTTTTTTTTCACATGGGTTGCTTATACCTTAACCTACTGTACATACAAAGTTTCATAAAGATCGGTTGGAACATCCAAAGATAAACAAGTTTATGTAAACACAAAATGACGGATATCTGGTTAGCGAAGAGATTTTCGAAAAATGTTATCCTTGATTTTTTCTTTACTTTGACCCATAGAACCATTTCACGGAGTTTGGCTATTTATTTATGGGACACCCTGCATATATGAAGACTGTTTTAATATGTAGTAATTAAAACTGATGGTGCTTTAAGTCTCCAGGAATATCAAAACGAAAAAAGTAAATCGATCCCGGGTCCAGGTCTTGCCACTTATAAAAACTTAACAATCTGACATT